GAAATATGTTGTTGTTTTAAATAGGCTTATGGGTGGCAAAATCCGTTGAATTGTACCGAAATTATTTTGCGGTTATCAAATTGAGTTTGCTCAAGTTCGGCTTAGAATGAACTAAAAAAAATAGTTGGAGTAATTCAAAAAAAAGTTAAAAAATTGCAATTTTTCTGCCTCTTCGCTGCCCTTTCTCCTTTCAACCTGTGTGAAATGCGGAGACATTCATCGGTATTTCGTATTAACTCAAGCTTTAAATGGGCATGTAAGCGAAATTACCAGATTTCAGCTCATCACATAAAATAGACTTTTTTTAGCAGTTGAAGATGTATTAATTTACTAACAGTAATGGAGTAACGGAGTAAGAAAGTGGAAATCATTTTTTCAGAAATAAGAAATCAGTAGGCGAGGTGGAAATTGGAAGCACCAATCCGGACACAATGCCGTACATTGATGATGATACACGTGTGGACGATATATATTGGTTTCTTTTATTTCCCCTTATTTTCAAAATTCTCTTAAACACCCTTTCCTCATTTTTTGCTGAAAAACCGGAGACATTTTTGAAACGGTTGGCTTGATAATGCTCTTAAATAGCAACACAATCGCTCACCAGCAAAATTGTCTTTCATTTACCTAGAAAAGGATGCTGAAGTTGTTTTGAAACCCCATATCGTAGCACACGAGCCATTTAGCAGTTCGTAGAAGTTGCCTTGCAATTTTTGTGATGGTTCTTCTCGAATTATAAGCAACTAAAACCAGTTCCACTGCAGCAATGTCAACAGTATTTTTTGATCCGTTGAGTCTTCTTTGCAACATTTTTCGCTAGAGGATTGATTATTCTGTCCGGTACCTTTTGGGATCCATCCCATCAGAATTTGTCCGCAGTATTCGCGCCTCACCCATTGGCGGATCTAAGGAGAGGGGCCTTTCACCTTCCCCCCTTCCCCCGCCTCCCCAAGGGCTCAGGTAGTAGTTGTTTTACTGTACAAAAATGTATTCGGTACCGCCTGTGGCCCTCCCTCTCCCTCCCTGCAGGAGCCCTGCCACTTTTAATTTGTCCAGTAAGAACGGTGGAGAGGAGGGGGAAGGGGGTAGTGGCGAAGGGAAAATGGAAGGTCAAAAATCCTCTCCCTCCCCTCCCCCTCCCCGCGTCCTATCCAGGAGACTGCCCTGAATTCGTCTGTGGCCTCGCCTCGTTATATTTTTCATCTACACGCTTTGCACTTAACGGCTAACAAATAGGCACTCTTAACAGTGTTACAGTAGATCGATCCAAAAAAAGTGTGCATTTAGAGCATGATGAGGCAAGTACCGTAGTGTTTCAGTGGTCTTTTATTTACATCTCCAACCTGGCGTTTGACTAATAACCACGCAACTGATTGATTTTACATGTCAAATAAATGCGCGTCATTTAATGATTCATCGAATCGAACATACGTCATCACATATTTCAATTGTATTCGCAGAGCGGGGGGCCACCGAATTACGAAAAGGCGAACAATAAAAATTACGAAGATAGAATGATTCTTTGCAGCATGTAAAAAAATTGATGATTTTCAGTGGTTCAGCCAGAGATACACCAGAATTATAGACGCATCTGGGCAGTAACTGAATTTTGACTGTTTTACGTTAAAATTTATTTGGGATATTAAAAGCCCTCCTCCCTCCTCCCTTGGGGAGGGATGATACTTAGTGTATCTTGTTGATGCTCTTGTCCTGTCTAGCTGCGAATTAATCCGTAAAAATTTTTGTGGATGACAACCGAGCAAGTCTCAAATCCTAGTCTAAAATTGCCTCTCGGTCAAGCTCTGCTCGTTTGAAACTTCTTTGGGCAGCGGCTGCTGCAGCGCGCTTTTCTGTCAGTTTATAAAAAATTCTGTCGCCTTTGAGTTTTTTGAGATGATTTCTCAATATTTCATTGTCACTTCCATAATTTGATAATATCATCGCCTTCTCCATTACTTTTACAAAACTTATCCTCAAGCCATTTCGATTTTTTTTTGGCTAGTTGAACTGAGGGCTATTGTTTCTACTGGAAACGGCAGCGCTTTTATCGGTAGCAATGCGAAGTACAGCTTTTGTTTGGTGGCGGCGTGCGATTGAAGGCTGGATACACAGCTGGCGGATCCTGGCGAGCTCGAAGTACACTGTATGAGCATTGTCCCGAAAGAAAAAAGAGCATCCCTGCACTCATGCACTGATGAATTTGCGACTAATTTTTTACTGAACTGCTACAGAAACATTCAGAGATACGCTGTGCAGTACGAAATATAATTTTTTTCAGTCCGCCAATGAGCTGTTACGGGCCGAAGTGTGACGGTACCATGAACGGCCGCTTCACAACCACTTATAAGCAAGGCAATACAGTGCAGGAGGTGAGTTTTTGTTGTTGTCGGCGCGGTAGCACTAATTTCAATATTCTCAATGTGAGTTTTCTAAAAGTATTCTCCAGTTAATTGTGCATGTGTTTTTTGTTTGTACGTGTGTCCGTGCGTGTATGTGAGTGTGTAGGTGAGTGGGTGTGTGTGTGGGTGCATGTGTGCGAGTGCATGTGTGTGTGGGTGTATGTGTGTGTGGGTGTATGTGTGTGTGGGTGTATGTGTGTGTGGGTGTATGTGTGGGTGGATGTATGTGTGTGCGGGTGTATGTGTGTGTGGGTGTATGTGTGTGGGTGAGGGTGGGTATGCGTTTCTGTGCTACGTTTGTGTGTAATGTGTATTTGCATTTTAGGTTTTATATAAATTTAATGAATGTAAATAATTATTCGGTATTTGATGTTAATTACTAGCTTAAAGCAGCTTAATTAATGCTATTCCAAGAATAAGTGGTAATTAAACGCTATTATGTTTATAATGAAAGAAATCTTTTCACAAATATAGAATTTTTTAATCGTTTCGAATAAAATTTTGCCAGAAGCTTCATAAAAATTGCCAGAAAAGGCAAATCACTCTCCGTATTTCATTTTTTTGTTGAAGAAAAAAACACCCAAAAGGGCTTCTGCAATCGTATCCTGCCAACAACAAAAGCTTGCCGACAAATCTTTTCATGGTCATTTCGGGTCATTTTTGGTCATTTTAGCTCTTTTAGGTCATTCAAAAAGCAAAACTGAAAGCGACTTTGACACTTTACCATGTTGCGGCACCAAATTGTCATCTAAACTTTCAGCGCGTGAAGGAATTCTGTTTCTTGCTGACGCATTTTGAATCATCCCATAGATTGGCCTCACTTGGCCACCTCTCCTAGTTGATAAGTGATCTGTATAAATTGGATTCGATTTCTGGCTTGCTCTAATAGATCGGTTGTGGAGCAAGGGTTACCTCTGACGACGGTTCTAGAGGGAAATAGAAAATTTTTTTCTGCTGGAAGCCGCCTGACCTACAGTTTTGAGAGTGCTTCTGCATGCTGCAACTGTTCGCTTCGCTAGTAGGCCTCTAGTTTGGTAGTACTGACCAGTGAAGATCGGTGATCGGCGGGGCGAAAGTGGAGAATTGGCTTTTCTTTTACTTCGGAAGTTTGTAAAAGTGTTTACTTATTTGCTTGCTTTATTGAATTTTTGCGATAACGTGTGTTTTCACAAAGTTTAAAATTTCTTTTGTGTGAAAATAGCAGTTGACAAGTGTTCAGTGTACTTACCTTAAACAGCAGCAACTAATAATCGTTAAATTTCATCGAATATATCAAAAGTTTAGCAGAATTTTGTGCTATAAAAATATATTATTTTTTAGTTATCTCACATCCTCGTTATTGTTCCTTACGGCGAACTCTTTGAAAAAAAACTAAAATTTACGTTTTCGCAAGCAATGGAGCAAGCCAAAATGGGAAAAACGAATGTTTTGCAGATCCGCGCACTAAACGATAGTGAGGAGGATGAGGTAATGGAAAAGGACTTGCCTGAGGAAGAGCCAAAAAAGCCCGAAATCGCTACCAGTGACAAAGATGGTGCAGAAGAAACCGCTCCTGAAGTCGCTCCGATGGAGGAAGAATCTGGTGCAGACGTTAGTGCTACTGGTGGTGAAAAACACGATGATGTTAGCTAATTTTAAAATATTGCATAAATTCTGCTTAAATTTTAAGAAGCCAATATTTTCACTGCTACCGCTGCGTCTTTGGTATAGGTAGGCAGTTGAGAAAACCTGTAGATAAGCAAACGAATAGTTGACACTTGCGGACAGGCGAAAGAATTTGAAACATGGAATTTGAAACGATGCATACGGTTGAATTGGACAGACGGATAGGTCGATTCGTTGAGCAGCCAAAGGATCAAATAAAATAAAAAATTGGCATGAAAATAAACAGATAAAACGCGTGAAAGGACACTGATGGCGTTGAGCAAACAGATCGATAACAGTGATCATAACATATCTATATTTATAATCATTTTTGTCGTATTATGTTTTTATTATTTTTGAAAGTTAGTTCGAAATGCCAATGGGTTTTTATGTATTTTTACACATTTACGTAGATGCAACCCGTGTGGAGACACATTAGGTTTGTCGACGCGACCATGTATTTTGCATGATTCTGTCCTTTAAACAGATCGCCTATACTACTGAGGTATTGCTGCGGTGTTGCAATTTGAACATTTGATGCACCTGTGCGCAACGTTTATGCCCAGGCAGAAGTTCATCTTGCGTTTGGTGCCCCGCGCATCAAAAGCAAACATACTCGGAAAAATGTTGCTTCATGCTAATTCCGGTTACCGAGTTAACTGGGCGCCAACGGTATCCTGAACTAAACTGTCACTTGTGCACACACGAGATCTAAGCTTGTTTTAAGGCGCATTTCGAAATATTTCGGTTGCGCATAGGCATAGAATATCCTCGTAAAATATCAGCTTCTTGGAAACTAACTGGCTGGTAAAATCACTTTCTATTGCAAGTATTTTTGACATGTCAAAATGCATACCACAAGCGTACGCTGAAGCTTTTTTTGTGCTTGCGTGCCAGCGTATGGACAACAGATATTTTCGTGAAGACAGGGCGCTTAGTTCAGTTTGATTCTCGAGTTAGCATTTTGCCAGCAATTTTTGATTTATACTTTAACCTGTTTGCACATGCGATGTAAGCGTGCATGATACCTAGATTTGAAATTTTTTGCTCACATTTGAGCAAAGAATATCGGCATGAATTTTCAGTTTCCTATCTTGTCTGATTCTCAAAATCGTTTTTCCGCCAAACAGTTAATTTTTTTGAGCGTCCTTACGCAAAACCTATGCGAGCGTGAATGTTGATTTTAAGCGGTTTGAAGAGCACATGGACTAGGGCAAACACCGGCAACCTCTCGATAATATGCGCATTTGCACTTGCATGAAGACACAAAAATGCATAAAAACGCATACTGACGAAAGGTTGTCGATTTTTGTGTGTGTGTGTCTGTGTGTGTATGTGCGTATGTGTATGTATGTATGTGTGA